TTTTCATATGATCACCTGTGATACATCAGTGCCTCTAACAATGTTTATCTAAATTCTCTGCCAGTGTCCTAAACTAACTCCTTTATCTCCTGTAAATTTGAATCTCTAAATTGATTTCAAAATGTTATTTTAACCTCCAGAGCTGCTAACAATATTTCCTCATGAAATGTACTGCCTGAATGTTATCTGCTGCATGGAATATGGAGTGAAAGTGGGTTTTGAGCATCTTTTCACAGCCCCATTAGTATCAGGTCCTGTTCTTTCCATATGACAAATTTCTTACAGCCATACTCGTGTTCAGGGACACCAATTTTCACAAAGGTGCTATTAACAACTCTTGGAGTTTTGTTTAAAAATATTAATGTGCAACTCTTATTTTAATCATAAATACTGTACACTGGCACGTGCCAAGAGAAGATGCTACAACAGCAGAGCATCACTTTACAGAAAGTGGGGGAAATGGATTAGACCCAAAGATATCTCTATTTCATTTAGTGGCTGAAATTGCTTAATTCCACTAAACCCAAAACTGAAATACAGAATATATTCCCTGAAGGAACTGTGATGTGCTTTACAATGAGCAATGAAATGAATTTCACTGTGGAACAACCATCTTTGTAGCAAGCAGCGTTCAGGTGAGAAACAAACCGTTAAGGGACTTGCTAAAGCTCCGCTGGATCTCCCCTCCCTTTCCTGGGACACTCACACCCCCCAGCTGCCAGCACTGGTGGCACCATGGCCAGGACTGCTGGATGAACTGGATCCCAAGGCCACAGGACAACTGCCCCAGAAACAAACTGTTCCTTGAGTTACAGGACATGATCACATTCCTTTAATGAGAGCAAGTTCATTACACAGTGTAAGTGTATTTCAAAATGAGCACATTTTCAACCACTGGATCTCTCAATCTCGTATTAAGCTAAATTTTAACTACTGGTACCAAGATTGCCTTGCTGCTGAGGCTGTGGATATGGAGAACCACCAGCTTCTTTAAATTAGGTTCTCAAGACACAAAAAAGGCAAAAAAACCCACCTTCCAAATAATCACTTCAGATTCGTGTTATTTGGCCTTAAATTTTGCCATTATCTCAAATCCCAATCCCGAAGATGATGAAGTATTTCTACTCAAAACCACATGTTTTGCAGCACAAGTGCTGTAACATCCTGGTCCCACTGAAGGTATTATGGTCCCACTTAATTCAGTGGCAAGCTTCCCACGTCCATGTATGAGAACTGGCCAGCTGATGATTACCAGTGGGATAAAAAGTATGTCTTTGTCTCTTTTCTGTACAAGACCAGCATGTGACAGAAGTGCTTTGCCAATGGAAAAGTCTGTCCAAGGTCAGCTGTTCTGTTACCAACGGGTCTAACATGTCAGCCAGTAAGAAAATGTTGCTGAAAACTGCTTTGAGAAGCAAATCCTTCTGACACAGCTCAGGACTGCACAGCCTCTAACCTTCTTTACACTTTAGAGAGTCTAAACCTAAATTGTAATAAAATACTAGAGTAAACATACAGCCTGATGAATACATTATTAACAGGAATGAATAGCTATTATACAGCACTCCAAACGGGACTGCTTTCTTTCTGAACAAACACACACTAGAAAACAAACATGAGATGTTTCCTGGGGAATTTCAGATACACCCAATGGCTCTGTTAGTTAGTTAATTTTGGCTCGCTAAGAAACACTAGTTAATGCTGCAGCTCATTCTCAAACTGACTGCTAAAATATTTTCCTCTATCAGATCAATACTCTTCCTGCAGTGAAGAGCTGCAAGAAATGGAAAGCCTAAAAGGAACTGGAGCACTTGGGCAGGGAGGGAAGGAAATATGTTTGTGTTATATGAAATTCATTTATCAAAAACTGGGATTTTGTGAAAAGTTAATTACAAAGCTACATGAAAAACCAGCTAAGCAACCATTGAAGTTGCCTGTCTCCTTTAATCTGCATATTCTGAGTACCCAGATAATGACACGTTCCAGAAATACTTTAATACTTTTTATAAATACTTTATATACCACTGTCATGTTTTCTCTTTTGACAGAAGTTTATCATTTACAAGTAGCAAGAACTTAAAAATTTTATACTGGAATCACTCCAACTTGTGTGCAAAAACCAAAAATGCAGTACTTAAAATGAGCAAACCTCAAGAAGCTCCATCATATTCAGCAGAATCATTAGGACTGTGCTTTTTATGAGGGTCACAAGCTCTGCAACAATGAGCAATAGATTACTACAGAAAAGTTCACAAAAGCAGTGTGGAGAAGCTTTCAAAAGTTTGAATGACTTTTAGCTGAGTTTGATACTTATATTCCTGCCTGCTTTTTCCAGCACCTCCTGATTTTACAGAAATACCTCCTTGTGAAAACAAACTTTCCTGATTGCTCACTTGGTTGGTGCTTTTGATAAAACAGTAAAAAGATGTGGAGTTTTGTAAAAATTGGAACACGTGGAACCAAGACAATCTCCTAAACACAGACACACAGGATAACTCCAATTCCCAGAAATATCTGCTGTCGTCTTCTAAAAAAAAAAATAAATCTTAGTGACCTTGAGCCAACTTATGATTTTGCATTGAAGAAACCATAAAATGTACAAAGTGAAAGGAAAACCAAAAGCAACTACCTTACACTCCTTGAAACAAGTGGAATGTTGCTTACAAGCAGCTCTGCTGGCTACAACTGGATCGTGACAGAACAGGGTCTGGAAAATTCAGTTTTGCAAAGTATTTAACTACATCCTTAAAGGAATGGCTGCTGGGTTGTTCTTCCTGTTGTTGCTACACCTTAAGGATAAGGGTTTTTTTAATTATTACTATTAAAAGTTCAAGACTTTTGTTTATTACCATAAACACAGAGAAAACAGTAAATACCAGATCTTGAGTTCTCAAGCTTCCCAGCTCTACCACTGTTATGTGCATTATGTCTATATTCTGAATGCTGCTTTATCAGTGGGAAACTTCTGACCACCAACATGCCAAAACCCGACCTCACCGTTACCATTTCACTTGTCCAGTAAATTGCTTGATAAACGTGCCTGTGGTTTCAGTTTTCTGATCTGCTGGAACATGTTCATTCCTGTCCTGGTGCAACTCACCTGCCTCAATAAAGCAAGTTTATTGTGTAACAATGTAAGCAGAACAGCTGGAGTCCTTCTAGCTGGAATTACATCCTCGAGAATTCCTAACAGGCGAGCGAGCTGGCAAATTGAACAGACTAAATCCATACCAGCAGCTTTAAAATAAAACATATGAAATGGATAAAAAAACAAAAAGAAAAAACAAGGAAAGAAAAGAGATGATAGCATAAACCAAGGGGTCAGGGGATAAGCAGTTAAGGAGTAGCATGGGAACCAGGCCAACAGCCTGGTTATTTTTAATCAAAAAATGTTACTTTCTTTCTGTGCTGCCCATTCCAAAAATGTTGAAGTGGCTCAGGCCATTTTAACATAGTTAAGGGAATTTCTCTGCCAGCTGTTTTTAGATGCTGGCACATAAATCTGACAGAAAAATTACATTCAGCTCCATGATTTTATACATTAGTAACATGACTGCTTTCACTGTACTGCCAAGTAAGCTCCGTTCTCACCCATTTTCTACCAAGAGTACAAGTATCTAGGGAAGTTCTTTAGAGAGAATTATTGATTTAGTTCATCATCAATCAAGTTAGTGTTGATGGATGTTATACAAACTGCTGGCATGAACAAATGAATGCTAGTGCATTTAGGTACAGAATGTATCAAAAACTCACTTGGATGAAACCAATTAGAACTGATAAGACCACCCTACAAAAGGTCCAGACATTTGGTTTTCTTGGACTGTGGGTAGTTTCATTATTTCTTCAATTTTTGAAGGGTCACTTTCCTTGTACAATTATGGAGCTCATGTTACAGTTCAGACTGTTCCCCACAATAAACTCCCATCCACAGGCACTGTTCCTGTAAAACTCAGTACAGCTCCAGCAGAAATTAAGGGGAACAAAGTAGAAAAGATAAGCAATTCCATAACAAGCATTTTCCTTTCTTGTACCTGAGCAGCAGTTGAGATGCTCACCAGCCACAAGTGAGATAGAGCAGTTGTCCAACAGGAATACTGGGGTTTGGAACTTCCAGTACAGTTTTAGCAAAGACTACACCAGTTTTACTATCTGCTCTAGCAATTGGTAAGACAGATCTAAGGATGGACTAACAGGTGAAGAGAAAGTAAAGGGTGAGGAGCAGGTTTTATAAATCTGAACTGACTCTTCTCTCTCTAGTCCACTCAGCAGAATTGCCTCCAAAACATGCACAAATATAGACAAACCAAGGGCTTTGTAACTTGGGAACAGGACAGGTGACAACAGGGAAAGCCACAGTTCATAAATGTACACAAGACTGACACAGATCTGCATAAACTGCACATAATCTCTAAGTTGTAACCCATTACAAACATCTAGAAATATATCTCAAGATGTTAATATAAATGTTCAAGGATGATCTATGGTTTTGAATTAAGAACCTGCTTCAGAATAAACAAGTGTACAAATAACCTTGGATTCTGCAAATGCCACCTCAGTACCAAATTATCTCAATACAATTTTTACATTCTTTCACTTTAAAAGAACTGAAATTTTAGGCAATTAGAAAATGCTCTTTCCTCTTTAAGCAGTCTCAATTCAATGTATCTGAACAACCAATGCTTGGCTGGATTCCTGACTGCTCAGAGAAGGGCAATGATGCAGGAAGGGAAAACACCAGAGCAGAACCAACTAACAGGAAATACCAAAGCCAGGTCAGATGGACAGGGAATACATGGGAACAGGTCTATGGTGTTTGTTGTGCGAGAAAAACTGAGAATTACAGACAGTTCTGATCAAAATACCTGTTTGATGACTTTTTTCCCTTCTCCCTCCTCTTCTTGACATCTATTGCACACTGCTCAGAAGGCCTTTCCTGGCATAACCTCCACCCAGTTGCACTAGAGCACAAAGAAGGCTTCATTCACTGAGATGCAACTTACCCAAATAGTTGTTGCTCTTTGACATCTCAGTAATGTTGATTTTAGTAGCTCCTTCAGGAATTTCCACTATCTTGTGGTAGCCAAGATTTGTTAGCGTGTGTTTGAAAACTCCAGACACCACCTTGCAAGCAGTGTTGTCCCCTCCACATATTCCACACTTGTCAATCACCTTGTCAGAACCCAGATAGTCGTCACAGCCAATGCTCTGCAAAATAAAGTAAGATTTCTTTTTCCAAGATCTTACAACTGCAGACTTTGGACATAATAACCAAGGATAGCATGACTTTCAGAGAACAATCAGTTGTGAAACCATTTAGAGAATCAGCATTTCAGCAACGTCTTCCTTTGTTCATCCCTATGGGAAAAGGCCAGAAAAGCTAAAGGGTTCATAGGCTCGGGGTTTCAAAGTTAGCTGACAGGTTTTTACATCCTGCTACCAAAAATACAAGAACACACTAGAACAGTAATGCATTGTTCATCACTGATTGCATCCTCCTTGGCTGAAAGGAAAGAACCTCTTAACAACACAGTTCCCACAGCTGCTAGCCAGAGAAGAGGTGGAGAGCTATGATTATGTCAGGATTTGAAAAGGGCTTTTTACAAAAGCAGAACTACTTCACATATAAAGTGTTGTCCTAATCTCCTCTAAAATTGAGCACTCAGCCTATTCTCACCAAAAGAGGTTTCTCAGAAATCTTTATGCTGCACCTTGACAGTTAGAGAAGGGATCCTCCAGTTCACTGAGTAGAAAATCTTCAACCCACTCAGTAGCACCCACTTGGATGGGATAATTCAAAATAAATCATTTCCTACAATCATAGAATGGTTTGAGTTGGAAGGGACCTTGAAGATCATCTCATGCCGTGGGCAGGGACATCTTCCACTATCCCAGGTTGCTCCAAGCCCTGTCCAACCTGGCCTTGAACAGTTCTAGGGATGGGGCAGCCACAGCTTCTCTGGGCATTTAAAATAATGTAAATTAAAATGCAGAAAAAAGGTTACAGATTTGACACAAACAAGAAAAAAAATCTTTCCAAGTTACTGCACTTTAAAAGTCTCTACAGTATATGCACTACCTCTTGTTCTACAGAAACATTTCTGTTCATTGATCTTGCTGGTTTGTATTTACAGACTTGTGGAAGTTTTATGATGAACACCTATCATCTACTTCTATGATTAACTTGCACATCCCAAAAAAGAACTTCTCATTCACATTCAAATAAGAATGAAACATTACATGAGCCAGTAGAACAGAAACCTATCACCTATTTTATGAAATGTAATTTGGAGGTTGAAACTAGATGATCTTTAAGGTTCCTTCCAACCCCAACCATTCTATCATTCTACAAATGTAGCAGTTCAAAGTAAATTTAACAAATTCATGTCTACCCCAAAGCAAAGCTTTTTTTTAAGCACAAAGAAATCATTCATGATCACACTAAAGCTGAAAGTCAGGAAAGATGTCATAATAAGTTAAAAATACAGCAACAATGCAACAGATAAAAGGAAAAATCTAAGGTTGTTAACAGATAAATCAAGGAAATACCAGATCCACTTATGCTAAAGTTGAAATGTGATAAAAGCATGTAAACAACAATTCTTCCATCATTTTTGATCTTACCTACCAAGTGCTGGAGCCTTATCTTTTTAGCCCCTGTTCTACATTGTTCATGGTTCTTCTGTTAAGAGAATCATATTTGACATTCCATCATCCTCATTTTAATAAACAGTTTCCCGTATTCTACCTGAATTTCTAAGCTTTTCTTCCCATGTCAGGTATCTTCTCCATATAAAGTCAGATGTTTTTACTTCCCAGGCCTCTCAAACAGAACGGGAAGATGATCTCTTAATAATTCAACCAGTAACCAAGTGGACACAAGTGAACTCGCACACTGGAGATTTGGTGTTGGCCCAGGAGCTCAGGTGTGGTAACCATTTGTGCACTCCACAAAACACCTTCCCTGCAGCTGAGATGGTAATTTGGAGACTTCTTCACTGACCAGGAATGCAACTGTGTTTTCACAAAAACAACACTGTTATTTTTTGTAACAGTTTAAAAACCAACTTATCTATGAAATAAATCAGCTTCTGCTTCGTGACAACATAAGAAAGCACTTCAGCAGCAAGCCAAGAGATTTGATGTCCTGGAATTTTGATACTGGCTATGGCCTAATTATAGCCTGGAGATAAGTAGGAATTTGTGATGTGCACAAGCAGTTGGAATGGTTGACAGCTAAACAGCACACAGACAAACCAACTGGATTTACTCCTAGAACACAGGCTTGAACTGGAGTTGGCTAGAGAGGAAGCTCCAGATCCTCAAGAGACAGTTTCCAAATAAGCAGCAGATACTTAATCTACTTTGATGACAATATCTTTAATTTATTAAAGAGCAGAAAATTAGCTGCATACAACTAGAAACTCTGTATTCCTCAGTACAAAATCTGGTTTTATTTCTGAAAACTGCAGAAATGCCTGAGTTGGGGTTTGCTGTTACACATCGTGGTGCTCGGGTATTGGAGACAAGACAGTTCCCAAAACCCTCTGAAACATGGCACAGCTGATGTGCCCAGCACCAGGAGATGTCCCAGCACCAGCAGAATGCAGATGCCAGAAACACAGGGAACACCAGGATGGCCAACAGAGAAAACCCTACAAACCACAACCCCTCCAAAATGACATGGGCTCCTGCAGGAAATGGCATGAACCATTTTACCAGGGCACTTCCACACAAGGACAAGGGATTACAACAAAAAGAGCCTGTCAGAACACCAGACATCTGGGATTTCACTCCTGTGTATCCCACCACTGTCTTACTCAGGAGAAAGGTCTGAGAGTGACCAACAAAGGAATTCCAGCAAGAACTGCAAAAACCATGAAGGAGTAGAGCTCCACAACAAGACTAGTAGAGTTTGGGTTTATTCCCAGCCATGAAACCCAAAGGTATTATGTTCCTCAACTTCAGCACATCAATTAACAATACTGGAAAATAAATAAAATCCCCTGATCCTCAAAGAAAACATAAATAACTTCTGTCACAGATTTTGAAACTAAATTTTATTATTCTACTTTACCACTTGTGTCCTATGAGATACAAGAATAATGATGTCCACAAGGTGGCACTTACAATCCTCGTGAAATCAAAATGCAGAAGGTCTTTGCAAAAAAAAAAAAAAAAAAAAAGGCAAAAAGCTAATTTCTTACACCTCTACACAAAGTTTGTATTGCACTTCTTTTCAAATGAGCCTTTATCACATGAGTAACAACTGCTGTCATTTTGTTATCGGTAACAGGATCTTAAAATATCTCAGTCAATCCAAAGATTTCTTTTGGATTGGGATGTATTTTAATCTGAAATACAAATGTTGTACAAAACTGAAATGAAGGAGAACCTCTCAAACTGTTATTTCTTGCATCATATGTTCTCCTTGTCTGGTCACCAGGTGGACTTCATTTATCAATCAGAAACAAATGTTTTAATCCAAATTCTGGTGTCTGTCCTCCAAAGGAATCCTCATTGACTTCAAAGTTGACATCAATGGGAAATTTGCCAAGTCACAAGGGTCAGGCTCTTTACAGGACTTGACAGGGCAGAATTATGTCAATCCCATGGTCTTCACAATGCAAAATTTACTAGCAAGTTTAAATGACTTTTGGACTTAAATGTGTCAAACAGAAGTATATATATATTTTTTTTTCCATTCACTTGAACTTCTGTGTAAAATTAATCACTCCCACTGAATCTGTGGGAATGAGAAAGATCAGGTTTAGGAGCACCTGAGGAACTTTTATGTACACAAATCTTTAGGACCAGACAGGATGCAACCAAGAGTGCCAACAGAGCTGGATGATTTCCCAGTGAGGTCATGGTGGTTGGTGGCAGTGCCCAAAAAGCAGCTGCCACATCCATCTTCATTAAGGGCAAGGAGGAGGACCTGAGACTCAGCTGCAGGTTGGTCACCCTAAACAGCCCTCAGGAGACTGCAGAGCTGATCCTCCTGGAAGTCATTTCCAAACACATGAAGGACAAAAAAACCCCAAAACAACAAAAGAAAAAGAGAACAACCCTCCTGGACATACCAAGGTCCAGTGGTGCCTGAACAAGCTGCTGTCTGCTGTGGTTCAGTGAGTTCAGCAGGGAAGTGGAGGAGGGGATGTTCTGTGCCTTGGGTTCAGTGAGGCCTTCAACATCATCTGTCACAGTGGTCTCAAAGCCACACTGCAGAACTCCAGACTGGGAAAGGTGACAGTAAGGTGAGTGGGAAACCACTGGATTGCCAGACTTAATGGGTAGTGATCCTGCTCCAAAATCCAACTGACAGGCACTTCCCAGTGGCCTCTCCCTGGGAGGGATACTGGAGGCAATACTGTTAAACATTCCTTGTGTGCCCTGGATGTTCAGACAGGAGTGTGCTGGCAGCAAATGCACAGGTGGCACCAAACTGCAGGGAGATGCTGGAAGCAGGACTGGATTGCTGCTCAGAGGTGTCTTGACAGCCTGGCAGAAGGGGCAGGCAGGAACCACGGGAAGTTGAAATGGAAAGTTCTGTGCCTTGGACAGAATAACTCCATGCACCAGGACAGGCTGGGAAGTAGCTCTGCAGTAAAGGACCTCAGGGACCTTGTGGATAACTTGGGTGTGAACAAGTAACGTGCCCTTGCAGCAGAGACAGCAACTGCACAATGGACTGTTCCAGTAGAGGGGTGGTTGGAAGGCCAAGGAAGGGGATTATGCCCTCCATTTGACAAGAAAAACCTCAAATGGAATACTATGTCCAATTTTGGACTCCCAGTACAAGGCATTGACTTTCATCATGTTTTTGGAGAGAAAGTATTAAAAGCTTCTAAATGTGTCAAAGATAAACCTTACTCCCCTTCTTTATCCTGTTTTCCTTAACCAAGTCCCTCTTCCAACTTTGCCTTCTCCAAAACAAGAAAAGTGAAAATACCAGGAAATGATATCAAGAAATGTGAAACCACAAAAAAATTAACTGATTATCAAAATAAAACAACACCAGTTACCGATTTTTTCCACTTTACATCTTTTAAGATGATCTGCATTGCTTCCTTCTCTTATTTTCTGTTCAAAGTTGCGCCACTAACTAGCAATGGTTCTTTCTAATCTCTTATTAATTCCGGTTCCATCTCTATTAGTTTTCTGAGCCAGTCACTGGAGAACAGGCAGTAAACTTGATAAAAACTGTC